TGTTCTAAAGACCAGGACTCAAAAAGGGATCATGCTCAGTATGTTCGCCAAGACCCCTGTCCTTCCAAAACTAATGGGATTTCCTTGTCAGCTTCCTAGCCTGAAGATGACACATGATCTTGCCTAACTGCTTTTGCGAAATTGTGTTGTTGAATCCTGGGCCCACCCAGGCAGGTATGAAATCCTCATTTTCTTCCTGGTATGACTGGGCATTGGCAGGAGTGGAATGGAATGAGCAAAGCTTTGTTCCAATAATTTAGCAATAAGGAGCAAAACCTTAGAAGCTGTTGTGGCTGCCTGTCTTATTATTCTTGGACTAATTTTGCAGAGTCGATGGGCAGGCTGCTACACTCCAGCATTGTGACTATGGTATATTTTGCTGTGATCAGTGAGATTTTCTGGCTCCTGAATGGCTTGGATGTTGTAATATGCCTGAAGAAGGCAATATTAGTCTTGGTAGATCCACATACAGGAAATCTTCTTTTTGGGCTCTTGGGACCCCTGGAGAAATACCATTTCTTTCCATATAGAGACTGCTTTGGAGTGATTTGTAAAGAAAAAAGACTCACCCAAACCTAAACCTGACTCTTGGATTATGAATTGAAGCTGAGATCAGTCTCTTGTGCCAATATAGGGCACCTAGGCATAGGTGGGACTGGGTAGGGTGGAGAAAGGAGTTTCTGATAGAGTTCTGTTATGAAACAAACACAAGTGAGAATATCCTTAAAATTAAAATAATATTTCAAAGGGAAAACTAAATTATTATGGAAGCTATATAACTGTAGCATTAAAATAAATTATATTGGGGGTTTATCTATTTAACATTAATAACACTAATAATAATATCAAGAAGCCTCCTGATTTAGATCAATGCAGAAAACATTTTGACCCCAAATTTTACCACCAAAAAACCTTAAGTAAATGCCAGTTTATGTTAATTCTGAACTAAACTTTTTTTTTTTGCTTTTTAACTACCCTAAAATAAAAGAACCCCCTTTTTAAATGCTGAAAACTTGCAATTATTGAAGTGTGCAAACAGATTTTATATTTAGAAGAGGGAAAAAATAAGCAAAGCATATTTAATTTGAAACAAATGTTTTATTGCAGAAATTTATAAATATATTGGATATTTATTCCACTTAATCTAAATAGGTTAAGAACCATAATTTTCTCAAGTTACTATTTTTTTTAAAATACAGACAACTCCACAAAATTGAATAGTGATGTTGAAAGATATAGTTAAGTTTGTGGATCTTAAATTATAACTTGCTGAGTTTTTAAATTATAGTGGTTTAAACTTTTTCATAATCTAAGTTTATTTTCAGAAACCATGTAGGAAGTTTCACAAAACTTTAAATCCATTACAAGAAGATTAATTCATCAGGAAATAAATGGTGAAAGTATGTAACTTACTTTTAAAACAACAGTACTTCAACCCACTGTATATCAGTATTTAACTGAATGCATTATTCAAAGTAACCCTGGGAGCGGCTAAATAAATTACAACGGTTTTCCTAAAATCTTTTATAAACTATGAATACTTTATACAATATGAACAAGTGACCAATCCAGTTGTATTCAAGACTGAACCTGGAAATCCAGTAATCAGGTAATTCACCAGAACTGTGATGTTAAATGTGATCAATTACCAAATGCATATTCAGATCACTTCTCAGATATCATAAAATAGCTCATTAATGAGGTTGGATGAACTCTTTCTAGCCACCCATATAATCAGCGGTAACAATAGTGACAAACCAGTCAGGAGCAGAAAAGATCTGCCTGAAACAAATTTTATTTTTCCACCAGAAATCTCAACTTCTGAAACTAGTAATATTTCCTATTTTGACGACCAATCTAGTTAATAGAGGTAACTTTGGAAAATTACTATTCTACTGCTAGGATTAAAGGACTAAAATTTTGTTAGAAAATGCCTCTGGCAAATCATCCCGTCTCGTTTAGTGTAGGATTCCCCCACCCCTCTGCAATTTCGTTTCCACATCTTTCCCAAACCCCCTTTCTGAAACCAGCACAATGTATTTCTGCTAATTTGAGAGTGACTCTTTCAATACTACGACTATAATTCTTTCAAATGAGTCTGTAAGCATTCGTCATGAGCAGAGCTCAAAGAGGAACAGAGTGTAAGTACTACATCTGCTTTTACATTCCTTTGCAGAACGCTTTTGAAATGTCAAAAAAGAAAGCGTCCTCTACAGTTTTCAGGAAAAGATTGACATGTCCTACAAGTACCGTTTTGTGCAGGGAGGGGAGGGGAGCGGGGAGTGTAAATTCTCTGCGGAAGAACCGCGACTTTTCCAGGGATGACTGAAACCCTCGCCCCACTCCGATTTAAAATGGAAATGACTTGGAATTAATCTCTTACCCTAGCCAGGGGTTCTCCGTAGTTCAGGGGATGCCAACCAGCAAGCGCTTCCTAGAAGGGGCGGAGGGGTCTATCCATAGAGGGCCACAGAAAGGTCGGCAGAGAGGCGAGCTACAGCAATCTAGCCTAGGTCCATCCTCGAGAGATGGAAGAAGAGCGCGAACGCCGCGCCTTTTCTCTCCAGACTCCCGTTCTCGGCTGAGCCCAAAGTCCAAAGTCCCCACCTCGCTTTTTGCCCCTTCCGAAGGCTGGAAGCGTCCACCAAAGCGGCTCGCAAAACTACTTAAGAAGGAGGGGGCAGTGGGAACGAGGAAGAAGAGAGCCGAGACTCTTCTTTTGCTTTTCATCCGACCAAAGTGTCCAGCGAGATTACAAGAAGCTATTTGGTGCTTTTTTTCTGGTTTCTTTTCGGCCCCGATTGTAAAGGTTACCCGGCTTCGGCAGCCTCGGCGCACAGGAAGCGCTTCGCTGTAATTTTGCGGCAGTTACTGGGGTTCTCCGCTTCTGCTCACTCGTGCATGACAGTTGCGGAAAGGCTTTCGCTTCAGGACGTCAGAAACATGTACCGGATGGTGTGTGCGGGGAGTTGGGGGGGGGGGGGGGGAGAAACACCAAGCCCTTGCATTTCTTTCAACCCCTCTGATAGTGAAATATCTGGGGTCCGCCAGAGGAAGGTTAAATAAACATACCATCTCGGGAGCCCCAAAGGAGAAATCTGCCTGGGTTAAGACAACCTAATTTTGCCTGGGCTAAATGCTCGCCTCGATTTACTTCGTCGGCGAGTAACTCTCGCTGAAGGAAAAACTTCGGGGTGTTTTTAAAGGCTCTCCTTCTCCGTTTCCCGATTTTTTCTTCATGTGTTTTTCTGAATTTCATATTCATAATGAAGCTGTTTGGGAGGTCTAAAAAAATCCACCCTGGAAAAAGTTAACGCGAACCACTTTTTTTTTTACTGTTGCCAGGATAGCTTCGTGGACGTGGCCACGAATTCCTCAGAAGTCAACTTTGACTCCAGGCAGGCTTTAACAGGACAATGCTTTTTCTTCGTTCTGTCGCGAGGGTATTTCTGAATTGCCTCTATCTATTCCCTCGTCCTACTACTCTTCTAAACAAGGGCGGAAGAATCCACATCCTCCCAAACCCTTAAATACATTCTCCCGTCGCCACGGTTATAAAAAGCCGCACAATCCCGAAACCCATTCCGGTTGAGGGGATTTTTTTTTTTTTTGACCCTCTAGCGCCACCGTAAAATCAGGCACTCTTAAGGGGGCCAAGAGTTTTGCTGAACGGTGGCAGGAATGCTGGTCCTTCTCTGGCAGTTGGGCGGACGAACGGCCGGGCGCGCTCGGGGCTTCCCCCTACGGCAGCGCCGAGGAAGGCGAGAGGCGAGAGGAGGAGGAGAGGGGAGTTCGCTGAGTCGTCTCCGCCTGAAGGAGGGAAAAGGATTCCGGCCGCACCACCTTAAGCGCGGAGCTGCCGCCGACGCTGAGGGGAGGCTTCAGGGTCTCCGTGGTTGGGGGCGGCTGAGGGAAAGAGGCGGACGGGGGTCGGTTATTTCTCCCCCTCCCCCTTACCCAGGGTTCCGGGTGGAGAAAGCGCGCTCTCGGGCTGGCTGGTTGGGTGGGGGGCTGTTCGGCCTCGCGCTCAACGTCAGTTAATTCCCCCCCCAGCGGATAGCGCCTTCGCTCCCTGTCGCTGCTCCAGCGAAGGCATCATCTTCACCTTCTCGGGGCGCGGATCCTTACCGCTTGTCCTCCGCTCCACCCCACCTCGCGGCAGCTCTCCTGAACGGCGGCGCCGACGGCGGACCGGACGAGCTGGGACCACTCACTCACCCTTCTGCCCCCGGACCCTGCGTCTCCCGAAGCGCGAGCGTGCAGGACGAAGTGGCTTTGCTTCCACGCGGACTGTTCCCCGCCCAGAGAGGAGCGGTTGGCCACGCAGCGCCCCTTCGCCTCGGGAAGGAAGAGAAAACAATAAATAAATAAATAAATTTTAAAAAATGCGGTCAAGGAGGGCTGACTCCCCTCACCCGCCCTCCCCGCGGGACTCGCGCACCGGCCCCCTCCCTGCGCTGCGGGGGAGGGCCATGTGCGTTTGTTTTGAGGCTCCGTCGCCGCCAGGCCGCTCGGAGGAAGAGACTGACGGGAAGGAAGCGCCTGGAATGGATACCGGGCTGGCGCTGCTCCAGCCCTCCCGCCCTCGCGTCCTGAATGCCCTCCCGCGTGGCTGCTCGGCTTCACTTTTACAGCTGTAGCCCGGTTCGGTCGCTGCCTTCCCCATCTCCCCCAATTTCACGAGCTCCCCTCCAGCTAACCCTGCCCCTTTCCTTCGCAATGCCGCCTCCTCCCTTCTCCTCCCAGCTCCCCCGTCTGCTCCCTTTTGCTTTGCCTGTGTGCTTGCGTGAACCGCGTGTTTCAATTTATTATATATTTATTGGGCTTTAATTCACTGACAGGCGTCTTCCTCCCCCCCCCCCTCCGGTCTTTCTTGCCTGCGTGGAAACGGCTGGCCCCAGCAAGCAGCAATTTGTAAAATCCTAGCTGGCCGCTTTGGGAAGGGCTCTATCCTGTCCAAGTGATCCCGTAAGATAAACGCGGATACTACTTTGGGGAACTAGGAAGAGAGGAAGGAGGAAGCAGCGGGGGGGGGGGGGGGAGAAAGTAGGAGGGATAGAGAAGGGAGGAAGCGGGGCTGTTGTTATTTTGGATTCCAAGAATCGGGAGGAGGTAGAGAGAGGGAGGGAGAGAGGGAGGGGAAAAAGAGGCATCACTACCATCACCACCACCCCCAAAATTCCCAAAGCAAAGAAGGACAACCCCAGAAAGGACTCACTTTGCTTGATGACTCAACGCAACTAATAATCATTTGTCTCCTCTGGCGAATCCCTCGTGTTGCTGCGGCTGCTTATGTTGGCTGGAAAAGGGAGAGATTGAAAGTGACACATCGGGCGCAGCTCGGGGCTTACCGGAGATCAGACCACCGGCTTCTGCTGCCACTGCCGCCGCTAGTCCGACAGAGTGTCCCCTTTCGGAAACAGCCTCTCCACCCCTTTGCTTCCCCCTCCCCCTCTTATTTCTTTCCCCCCTTTTTGCCGAAGGGCTGAGAAACCGCCCTCCGCCTCCTTCCCTCCCGATCCCAGAAGTCTCACCTCTCTTTTCCAGTTGCCACCTCGGGTGCCCTTTTAGGAAGAGCTCTTTCCTCAAAGCATCAAGCCATTTCAGGCGCAAGAGGACTAGGCACCCTAACTCGGGAACGAAAAAAAAACGGGGAAAAAAACCCCCTCCCCAAACTTAAGGCGTCAGTGGGGTGGGATACTGGGGAGAAGCGAAAAAGGCAAAGAAGAAAATAACGTAGCAAGAGGAGCCAAGAAAACTTTCCATCCTGGATTCGCTACTTTTGATCCATGGACAGAGCCCAAGTCAGCCAAGTTACGGACAGAGTATAAGCAGTAAGTACTACTGAAAAGCTTAGCCGAACTTGCCGCGGCAATCCCGAAAGATTGGTGGAAGACGCCTTCTCAAAACAAAATAATTGGCTTAATAGAAATGTAATATCTGGCTTGAGTTGCTTCAGGTTGAAGCTTCAATGTGATATGTTACACTCCATTTTATTTGTTTTTGTATAACTAAATCGCTCTCATTCTGTCTCCCCCCACCCTACGTTGTGTAGTGAAGCTTGAAAACGCAATCTGCTTGAGATAGCATTTCAGCACAAAATTCTAACTCGGTTCTAGGATTATAGACATATAAGGGAAATACTCGAGAAGGAAAAATGTTTTTTTCCTTCTGAGCAAAACTATTTTTTTGTGCAAAATAAAAAACAAGTCAACAGAGGAATCTGTTGAAAGGTTAACCTAACACCTCTATTACTTAGCAAGTGTTTACAAACGGAAAAGATAGCAAATATATGCTGTTTTTAAAGGCTTGTTTAATAGTTTGAAAGTGTGGCTACATTCTTAAGTACTTTTGGCTGGTGTTATATGTTTGCTGCTTATTTCTTTATCCTTTATCCAGAATAAGACCAGTCTTGAAATGCATATTTACCTATCAAACTGGATGACTATATTGGTTCATGAGTTGTTGTATCTGAAATGCATTATCTCTTTTAAAGCTTAAGCTCTTATTTGTTTGCCGAGTCCATAGCTTGTATAATTTGCATTCTTTCTCAAAAAGAGAAACTGGAACAGGTAAATAGTTCTGATAATAGTAAGATTTATAAAGCCAAAGTTAAAAGAATGATCAAGTTCTCTGAAAGATACTGTGTAGATACTTGTTAGCTGACGGTACTTCAAGCAGCATAGGAAGATGTTAAGAAATCAGGTGCAAAGCTGTGCTGTGCAGCTGCAGTTATTTCTGCTTGAAGCACTCTCTTAGTTAAATGTAGATGTAACTAATTGACACAGTGGATCTGGATGCTTCTGAAATGGTATTTCTTGTTTCTTTCTTTCTCCCTCTTTCTCTTTTTAGGTCCTTGCTCATTTTATTGTGACCTGCCTGTGGGAACGTTGTCTCCAACTCAAAGTAATATGGATCGGAGAAGTGAGAGTCCCTGCCTAAGGGATAGCCCAGAGAGAGGGAGCTGCAGCCCTGATGTCAAAGGTCCTCCCCCGGTGAAGGTGGCCAGGCTTGAACAGAATGGCAGCCCTATGGGAGCCAGAGGGAGGCTCAATGGTTCTGTCACCAAATCAGTGGGAGGTAACAAACCTAGCAGAACTAATGTATGCATAACAGTCTGGCGGCTGAGTTATAATAGCAGAAGGTCTCAGGGTTCAGGTTGGCGTAGCTTGAGTGTCTTGGTGTAAGATTACAGAAAGAAAGTCAATGGCAGACAGTTAATGCCCACTTTAACTGATGTCTCTCATCAGTAACCAATAGGCTCATTATGGTTAAATAAAGTGGCTTATGTAGAAAGTGGCATATTTTGGGCACTTTGCCATTTATATCTGGAATTAACTCCTTTATGATGCAGTGGAGAGTACCTTCTTTTTCCTGGAATGCTTAAAGTTGTTAAACACTTTGTCTTAACAGAATACATAAAGAGAATGTAGATTTTCTTTTATTTAAGGGTATTTGTCATTATCTTCTAAATAGTTATATATCTGTATTCGGACCAACGTCAAAGTATTTAACCCATATGTAGTTTGTTATTTATGACAAAATGACTTGCATTAAATAAACTATATTAAATGGGGCTCTTAATTTAGTCCTAAAAAATCTATATTTTTGTTAAATGCATTTCACAATCTTTATTATATTTCATTCTTTTTTAGAAGAATTTCAAAATCTTTAAAATATAAAAAAAATCACTTCAAAATCCATTCTAGAACAATAGATTAACTTAGTATCACAAAAACGTGTACACATTTTACTAATTAAGGGTATGAGGATAAATATAAGGCTTTACCTTGTGTCTTATCACAAAAACTCAGAGGGAATTGGTGTATTGTTTATTTGTTCTTAGTTTAATTCAGCTAAGATTTGTGAGATGTAGTTTAGGAGTTCAGGTGGCCTTCTAAACCTGTAAATATAATCCATTTAGGAATAATAGTTTGGTATCATTAAGTAAAATATAATGCAAAATAAATATATAAGCCAAATTATTTCTTTGCTTTTTTTAAAAGAAATATTTTGTGTGTGTAGAATTATATATCTATTTTAACGATTATGTTATTTGTATATTATAATTACAAATATTTCATGTGTTCAATATAATTTTACATTTTTAAATAATGTCATTTTAATAATATTTTAAAACCTTTACAACATGCAGTTACTTTAAGTATTTCATTTTTGAATGTCATAGCTCCTTCATCTTTCACTTCAGTCGCTTTAGGTTTGGAGGTGGACATTATAACAAGGTCATCCTTGTGCAAAAGTTTCTAAAGTAGAAGAGATAATAATGGGAAACACATAGTTCTCTTAAATATAAAGCATATTGTAATGCACACGGCATCATTTTTACCATGCAGCAGTTTATTAAAAAAATGGATGTCTACATCCAATATTGAGTTCTTTGATAAGTACAGTATAGCACCATTGTACTCTTTTTAACAGTTCAACCATTTTGCATGTGTTCTTAGCTTTCCCTGTTCAGTAGAGATTAGTAATTGCTAAACATTACTGAAAAGTTGTATGTTGCAGTTTCCTTTATCTGTCTCTCATTCTGTCTCCCTTGTCCTCCATTTTAGTTATTTATACATTCTTAGGTAATTGAAATACCTTTTTGTACTGGATTAAAACTATTAAATAGCTTTGATGAATGTATCGGGTTGTTTTTAGCATTCTTATCATTGTAATCTTAGAGATAAGAAAATAATAATTAAATAGGTTATTGAAAACTATCAAAGTAACAACAGTTATTGATTTGTTGCTTGCTACGCTTTTTGCAACTGTTTCAAAATGAGCCATGCAGGAGATTGGACAAGTTAAAACATTTATTTTGAGGAAATGTTTGTAAGCTTGCATTGTTGCTTTCGGTTGATCTGTTAAATACATTGCGGAATGAGAGGTTTTTAATAAAAAAAAATATTATGGAAAGGCAAATCTTGCCTTACTACTACTGGGCTTTGCCACAAAAATTCTCAATAAATGGTAATGATATCAATGTGACAAGAGACAGGATTTTATTCATTTTTTGTGAAGTCTTTCATTTCTCAAGGTCATCTTCTAAGAATTTATCTTTTCATGCAATGCTAATTGTTTTAAATTAATAAACTATATTATGGTATTAATGTTCTGTTTCATGCAGGTTCTTGTAATTGTACCACCTGCTTACCAATTGAATGGAAGGCATTAAGAATAATTTCAAAAATATTCTTAATTCTATTACACTGAATACTAAGGCAATTATGTATTAAAATAGTTAAATTAGACCATCTTAGGAAGTGGGTGTTAGATAAAATTGATGTAAATTTTATTTTAGCTGCTGTAAAATTTTCTGTCTTATAAAATCTTCATGTTATTGTGCTTCAAAAATTTACTTTGTAAAAATGACCAACAAATCTGTTTGTAGAATTAAGCATAAATTACTGAAAAAGATTGCCTTGCTTCAAATAGTGCATTTTTATAGTATACATTTATCTTTTTAATTACAATGCAACCCAATATTTGTGAAGACATCATTTTTAAAATAAATTTCTACACAGTATAAATGCTGCCATGTGCATTACAACATGTTTAATCTGAATTTTATAGATTTGAAGGTAGTAAATTATAACAGAAAGGGAAAGTGATTTAGAGAAAGGAGTAAACTTAGGAATTTAGCTACACCGAAGGAATATTTGGCATGTAAAACAATAAAAAGATCTCTTGAGATTGCCTAAGTATAATTATTTAGTTTTAAATATAATACATAATTTAGGAAAGTTACAAGTTCTTAAAATAGTACTGTAGTTTTTTCTAAGGATCACCAGACTGTAATTATCCTGTTTTTGTTGAGGAAAACAAAAAAGCCCATTAATACTTCCCATATGATTTTAAAGCACACTCTTTTTTTTTCTTCCAATTATTATTTGTGCAGACCTAAGATTATAACATTAATTATGTTAAGATGCATATCTCTACTTGTGGCATATCCTTTTTCAAATTTTTATTTAGAGATGTAGAGAAACATTACAGAAAACATTTGTTGCTAATGGTAAATTGTGTTTTTGAGTTAACACTTTTTGTCCTTTACAATATTAATTAATTTCAGTAGAACTAGTCAAGATTAGCTGCTGCTTTCCCTTCTGCCTCCCCCTTCTTCTGCTATTCTAGCACTTCCTGCAATTCCTAGATGCTCTGTTGAAACCATCTATGTAATAAAACAGAAATGCTGTGAAATGTTCATGATTGGCAGGATTTATAGCAAGTCTGTGGGAGAAAAAAGCAAATATCTCTTTAAAATACATATGACGCCTGGGAGAGAGGTTAAAGCAAGCAAGAGCTCTGGGGTGTTGACAGCTTTATATCCCTGCTGGGTAACATTCACTTACTAGAATTGGCGTCTTCTCTCAGTTACTAATTTGCTCCATAAGGATTTTGAAGAAAAGAAAAGGACGATGAATGGCCAGGAAACTCAGATTTCTAAAAATGCTGAATAAAATTATCTGTTCATGACCCATCAGTTTTTATGTACATTTATCTTTATTAGTGTTTTAAAGCCTTAATAAGACTGTGATCTTCATCTCATTAATTTAGAAATGAGGTCTGTAAAAATCGCTAAGATGCCTTAAAATTAAGTCTTTTATTTTGTTCTAAATACAGGAAAATAGTATAACATGCCAACATCAGATTTAAGAAACAGAGTGCCTAAATCTGACGCTGACATGTTATACTATCTATTTTCATACTTGATCCATTCAGTTCATTTCTTGGGTTGTACCTTAAGACTGAAACACACATATTATCAGGTCTTGTGTATATTTTTAGACTGATTCAGAAAGTATAGGTTTTGCTTAAACAGATATCTAGTGCGTGAATGTTTGAATGAAAGTAGTAACACTTCTGTAGTTTCTCAATATATCTTAAAGTTTAGTTTATCATATAGTTCACATGTTTAGTCAAATATGGTATTTTTAACATTTAAAAATTATTGAAGGTCAGATCCAGTCACATTGATATTTATTAAATCAGTGAATTTATCATGACTAATTTAAATGCCATTCCCTTTAGTAGTTGTATTCTAAGGATATCTAGGCTGGAAGCCAGCCTATTTCTATTCAGTGTAAGCATATATTTCTCAAACTGGTTTAACAGGAAAATATAAAGCTCTGTTTTTAATTTTTAATAAAATAGCTAGAGGTCCAATATGACACGATTGAAAAATATATCCCATTGAAGTAAATGTACATTAGGTTGTGGCCTTAAACTTCAGATCAGGACTTCAAGCTATACAGTTTACTTAATAATATATTCAATATTGAATAGTCTCAAATAGGATTTCAGTTTTTGTTTTAAGACCTAGCATGTCATTGTTAAAATCTTTATGTTACAAAGATTAATGCTGTATCGAATAGAACTGGGCAAAGGAAGATTTGTTATTATCTTTTATTACAGTTGCAATGGTCAGGAGGGGAAAATCACAGTTAACATTTTGCTGTAACATTAAGATGGAATCTATAATAATGAGCGTGCTCTAATGTGTTAATGGAATAGTATTGATGACAATTGTTAATATACTTCTTTTGCAAATAAAGTTGCTTTTGCAACTGAGTGGCAATAACACTATAGTGCTGAAGCTTTCATTTTAACTTCTGTTGGTATTGTTTTATATGTATAGCAAGTAACGTGATAGAAAAGTAATCTGGTTTTAGCCATTGTGACAGATTTTTATTATTGCGTGATTTTTGGAATATATGTGGTTTACATAAACCTGAATTGGTAGTGCTTTTAAAACATAGAATCAGTTTAAAATATTGTAAAACTTGTTTATTTTACAGTGGTAATAGTCAAAATTAAAATCTTCAAAATAATTGGGGGATAATAAGCTGTTAAGTAAGTTATAAATTAATATTTTAAGAAATCAGAATTTATAATTTAATTGAAAATTGAGATGTGCTTTTGGAGTCAACTATCTCACCATATTTTGTCTTCTCATATAAGAATGTAGCTCTTTTGTGGGTTTCAGAATTTGGTCTTTTGATTTCAAGATTATGCAGTTCTATATTCTGAATGAGTATACTGTATAATCTAATAAAGACCCTGGGATTGGTGTT